CAGTGAGCAATCCTGGGAGAAAATACACACACAGGAGCTACTTGGTCTTCAGTAGGAGTAATCCACTTTATTGTAAGAGCTGCAAGGTAAGTGTAAGGGATGTCTTTGTCTTACATGACTGAATTGTAAATCCTGCGTTCGCATCTTGCGGGGCAAATGGCTCTTCAGTTCACCTTCAACAGGTATGTTGTTATCACTTTCCTGCTCTTGCTCTGTTAATGATTAAGAATCTATAGCAGTTTCAAATGAAGCTTTTCATTTGCAAAAAATATTTAAAATCTTTCTGGAAGAAGCAAGGATTCCTCAGTGGCATTTATTTTATTATCTCTTCCCTGACACTTTTGACATGAAATATTTTGAAATACATTCCTTTTCAGAGTTGAGATTTGTGAAATCATCCAACCGGTTTTTCTTTTTTTCTTTTGTTGTTTTCTTTGGCTTCTTCCTTCGAACCTTTGCTAAATGCAAACTGACTATGCCGTTTTGTTTCCTGAAGTAGCAGATTGTGAAATTAAACAAATAGTTTGACTTTGCCTCTGGCTTTCATGGCTGCTGTACCTCTGAAGAGACTGTTCACCTCTAATTACATGTCCATTGAAATCATGCAGAGAAGGGACAGTGTAAGTCATTAGCCCTTCTAAATGAATGTGCAGCTGAGTACCTAACAAAAGGATTGACACTTGACAGCAAAAGCTCTGCATGCGGAAGGAGTGGGTCATTGGGTGACTGCCTATTACACAGAAATACCTGCCATCCAGTACTGAGAAGGAGTACTGTGTTTACTGCACAGGAAGGAGTTTTCTCGAAATGCCTAGAATTAGACTTAATCTACATGTGTGCAAGATGGGTGAGAAGGTCCATTATTCTGCAGTGGATTGCAGATGGTGGAGAGAGCAGGCAATGGGAATCAGCTTGTAAAGCTGTGCCTTGGGAGGGGAAGTGACTTGTTTATATAAATAAGGCCTGATTCAAGGCCCGGTGAAGTCACTCAGAAGATTTCCCGGTATATCAATCACTGCATTCAAATTAAAAAAAAAAAGACTTTTGCTTTCATTTGATTCTCCATTAAATATGACATGCTCAAGTGACCAAAGTTGGGACTGCAGCTTATGTTGTAGATGTCAAATAAAGCTGTTTTCAAGAAACAGGCCAAGTGTTTGTGCTTTCTTCATTCAAAATACTCTTTGCAGTTATTTTACTTTCCATGCCTCCATTACAAAAGAGCCTTCAGTGAACACTTGTGCTTAAATGACTGTGTGTATAAATATTAGGGTACCATCGTTGTGAGTTTTCTTCTTATCCATTGGAGCTTAAACATGAATCAGACTGTTCAGTAGGCACAAACAAAGAGAACCTATGGAGGGTTTCAACATGCAGGATAAAGCCTTAGGTACAGCATAGTGTTGCTGAAAAGAATCAGGTGACCTAAATGTCATCTTGGTTGTTATTCTGCACTCAGCACAATCACTTCGAGAATCTACTAACAAAGCTTTCGCATCCCATGTTAGCAAAATATATGTTTGTGATGAAAACATATATTAGCAAAAGTTGAAAGGAAAGCTCCTATCTAGCAATAGGCACAATACTAAGTTGCATCATTTTAAAGATTCTTTTTGGACCAATTCTTATTGCTCCATTAAGGTCAATGAAACTAAGAAAATCTGCTCCCAGCTGAAGATTTGAGCCTCTTGACTTGAAGAAGGCAGAGAAGAAATGATAGCTGGCGTGGCTTGAAACAGTTTAACCTGCAGTTAGCACTTTGTACACCATGCTCAAAAAGTTGAGGCATTGATTTAATCATGGTGAAAACTTTTGTTCTCACCCACAGCATTGATCCTTCACATCCAAAGTCATTCAGGCGGTGTGCAAGGATTGGGGTAAAATCTGGCTTTACATCCTAAATTAAACTACACTTTTTGAGAGGGTCTCTTAACCCCTACAATAATATATTGGGAGAGACACTTGGGCCTTGTCTAGACTGAAATTATAGTTTTACGTCAAGTTAGCTTAGCTGGGCTACTTTACAGTCAGGAGGAGTCCTTCAATTAAGATAGCCACACTTTCAGTTTTAGCAAGTTGGATAGTAGCTTAGATTAATTAACTAGCGTATATAAGGCCATTGGCTAGAAAACAACATAACGATACATGACCGGAGCCAGTAGGGGAGTTAAAAGAAAACCAGTAGCAATAGGGTGGTGCTGTATAAAATGAAAAGGATGTTTAAATGCAAACATTACATGGTCAATGCCCATGAGACAAAATTCAACTTCTAACATGCATTTATTAGAAAGGAGTGGAAACAGCTTTTTTCTCACATTTGAACACGGATAATATTTCTAAAAGCTGTTGAGTCATAGTATCAAAGCATAGGTGACACCTTATTGACTGCTACACAACTTTTTTGTCTACTTCTGCATCTTTACTGCAGTGCCAGTTTTCCCATGGCATGCCCTCTAGAGATCCATAGTAGGACCTTGTCGAGCTGCTCAAATGTTGACTGGTGTTAGTGCTAGCTCGGGTTTGGAGCAGTCACACTTTAAGGCTCAAAACCTTCTCTGACTGTCCCCCACCTGCACAGCTGTGACTTACCACTAGAAGGCTGGCAAACAGGGGCCTAATTAGGAACTACAGCTGAGTTGCCACTGCAGTGCCGGTGAGCCAGGACAGGCTTCTGTCCCTAGTTTAAGGGTGTGTGAGAGATGAGTTGATGAGTGGGGAGGCAGGAACATGAAGCTCGGAGGCAGAGAATTAATAAGACAGGGGTGGGTAATGAAATGGGAGGTGGAGAATTGGCTTGGTGCCAGAAACACCTCCTGGGCAGTAGAGTTCAGAGGGTGGAGAAAGCAGGTGTGGAAAGGGAGGTGAAATGAAGCAAGTCAGCCGCTGAAGAATACAATAAAAAGAAATTTAAAAAAGAAGAATTTAAAAAGAAAGAGGAAGCAAGTTAAAGAAAGTCTCACATTTTAATAAATTGGATTTGGGATTGGGGTGTGGGGGGTGCTGGCTGTGCTTCCCAGGGTGGCTGAGAGGTGGGAGTGGTGAGGGAAGGCACTTTCAGGGGAGCTACTGTCCTTTCCCTGGGAAGGAAGCCCCAGCTGATGAGGATGTAATCTGGCCCCTTACCTTGTGCCCCCACTGCACCCTCGCCTTCACCCCACTCCTAGACCCATCCATGCCCTGTGACTTGGCCAGCTGGCATATGCTCTATAGGCCGTTTGTGTGGGGTTACACTCCATGCAAACAAGGAGTGGGAGGGGGAATTGGCTTGGTGCCAGAAACACACTTTGGGCAGTAGAGTTCAGGGGGTGGAAGGTTTGTCCATACAGAACAGGAGAGTGGGAGAGGGGACACTGCATCCTGGGATGCTGGGGGACTGCAACTTGGGTGGCTCATCTATGAAGAATGGCCACAGGTTAATGGGACATGAGCTCGGTAATGCAGATCAGAGAGAAATCTGCCCTGGAGTGGTGTAACTTTAAGCTGCCTAAAGTGTGCGTGAAACTAGGTTCAGGTGTTAATGTATGGACAATCCAGAGGTTAAGAGCTCCAGGAGCCATCTAAAATTAATGTGAAACAAGGTCCTGAGTTAAGCTGAAAACATGAAGCCTTATTTTCCCTGTCAACGTTTTATTATAATGCTATGCCATGCATGTCTAGAGATCACCTAATCCAATCTTTTGCTGATGCAATACTGTAATATTGATTCTGTATTCACATAGTGGAGCTTGTACTATCCGTGCAACTCACAGTACAAACATGACTCCCAGCCCAGTTAACCAAGTCTTCTTTACACTAATAGTCCTTATTGACTGCATCAGGACTATTCATGTATGTACTTCTCAGGAGTTAAGGCTGGAGAATGAGAGGTCATATGCAAAGTGATTAAGTGAATCAAAGGCAGTATATGGAATCCAATATGCATCTCACACCCTGCCATCCCATTCACTGCAGAATGCTACTTCCATTGTCTGATTAAGTGACATCTGGTTAGTATATTTGCCTGATTATCTGGATCTCAGCATTACTGTGAGCAATGAAATCTCTTTAATTGGTACACAGACTGTCTTCCAGTAGTGTTAAAACCAAGCAATTTATGTATCCATATTCTTCATGGCTGTTTTTACTATTATTGTTGATCCAAAAATAGTCAGATTATGTGTTCATTCATTCACACAGTTACCATTTTTGCAACCTCGGAAACAATGTTTAGCTCTATAAACTGAGAAAATAATATGCCCTAATTAATTTTCTGCATCACTGAAATGGAGCTTTGTCAAATGTGGAAAGCACACATCTATGCTGAGATCCTACAAAAAGATAAATGTCTTCTGGGTAGTGATGCTATATCCAGTGAGGAAACAGGCAACCTCAAAAGAATATAACCCTAGAACCACGGCTCTAGCGCAGTTCAGAAGCAAAGGGTAAGAGAATACCACAGCAGAGATTAAAAAACCTGATAATAAGAATATTTTTTGGATGAGATAAGCAAACAGGCTTGTAACTGCAAGTAAATCTAATGTCCTTGTGTGTTTTCAGCTCCATTCTGAGTCAACCATACAGTTTAATTTGCAAAAAACCCCAACAACCCCTAGTCCTATTTTTACACTTCAGGCTACAATATTCTGGATGGCAAACCAACTCTTTCTCCTCCCTCCGCCTCCCCCCCCCCCCCCCCCCACACACTTTTTTTAAAACTAAAAACTAATGATTAGGTCCGCAAGATAGGAAGGCAGTCTATGCCTTTCTTGATAGCACAGCTTTTCTTGAGTATAAACAGATCTGATTTATTTGGTCTAGAGTGTTTTCCAAGAGGCAGCCATTAATTAGTCCCTGCAGGGATTTCTGTCTCTCTCAGAACTGAACCAACAAATCCATCCCATGGCTGAAAAAGATCACGGTTAGACATGTGCTCCCAATAGGGAAGGCTTGGAAATAAAGTAAGAAGCAGTCAATCTCAAGTTAAGGTTAGCAATTGATTAACTAAAGGGAGGTACAAAGAAGTACAGCTCCTCGAGTTATGGTTTCTGTTTCTTTGTGGATCCTGTTTGTAATAATGCACCTGCTTGTAATAATAATAGCACTCTGGATTTCAACTGCAGCTTTTATCTGAGCATCTCCAAAGAGATTACAGGTATTAATTAAGCATCACAATATCTCTGCTATGGGCGGAGAAAGTGATAGATTATTTCTGCTGCACAAACATCAATTTTGAGGTAGAATCACCCATGACAAAGTGACAGAGACCATGCGCGCTAGGACTCGGGGTTTTAGGAGAGCAAGAAGAATGATAAGAGGTTTGGGAAACATGATTTACAAGGAAATGTTGAGCAACCTGGTTTTTGCTCTGTCTGCTTAGGAGAAGACTGAAGGAAGACATGATAACAGCCATTCAGTATATGAAATAGCTTCGATCCAGAGGTCTTTTTGGCAACCTAATCTATATGTTGGTCTTCTGCACTAACATGAGGTCTGCTCAACCAGCTCTACGTCTTCTCACAGGTAATGTAGCCTGTTCTTTTCTGCAGCTTCAGACCAAAATTAGGGCTTTTATTGTCAGCACTGCACTGTACACTGAATTCAACCAGACTCCCTGTGCCTCCCACCTGGTGTATGCTGACAAGCAAATCAGAAAGTGAGATCTGAATTTATCTTCCTGATTTTTTGAACAAAAGCTTCACCTTCATAAGTTACTAGAGAACTATGTGGGCTGCGAGGTGCCCTGCCTGGGTGTCAGCTGACTGTCATTCCCCAGAAAGCTCCTGACGTACCAAGCAGTGTTGTGCTGAGACACCAGGATGCTCTTGCCTCCAAACAGCAAGTAGCAGAACTGCCTGAACATGGTGCTGCATGGAGCTAATCTGAGCTAATTCACTCAGGCACAGCCTGAATGCACCTAAATCACTGCTGTCCCAGGGCTAGCATGTACAGAGCTAGCTCAGGCATCTCTACAGTGAGCACAGCAAGAGTAGCACTTGGAGGGTCGGCAACAAGGCTCTATATGAACCCGGACAGGAGTAGGTGAGCATTGTATGGGAGGCAGAGGGGAGGTGAAGTCTGGTCCTGTGTAAAGGGATGGTGGAAAGTGGGCTATGGGATGGAAGAGACAGTGAGGAAGAGTTAGACTAGGCCAGGCTAAAGGTAGGCTGTACAATCAAAACCACTGAGAATCACTGGGCTAGTGGTTAACACAGTCCTGGGAAGTGGGAACCCTAACCATACTCCTAGGACTGCTCAAGTATTTTTTTCTGATGCCTGTTTCATTTAAAAGATAGGAATAGTCTGAGGAGTGGGGACCAGAACCCAGGACTCCCTCCTTCCAGGGGAGCTCCCTTATCACTAAGTTAGTGAGGAACACTTCTCTTGTACCCCCTGTTTCTGGCCCAAATACTAGGATGTTATATAATGAAGGTGAGATGTGCACCACTGTCTCCTGTAGCTGTCTTAAAAGAGAAGAGCGAGACTTGCTTAGTTCTTTGAAGGACGATGGAGGCATCTCTGAGGGCAATAGGATTGTAGGCTGTGGATCTTGATGGGCTGTTCTGGCAGCTCTGATTTAGGGCTGTGTGAAGCTTCAGTCCCTGATTTGATTCAGCAAAAATTCGGCCTGATTCGGCAGCCAAATCTCTGAATCTGAATCAAATCAGAGGACCCTTTAATCTCTCCAAATTGAATTGGAACCTTCCGAATTGATTCGGAGAGATTCAAAGATTCGGACATAGAGACAGCTTTAAACGTTTTTTCTACATACCGCTAGATAGCTGGGGCTCATGAATGCTGTGATGCTGGGGCACATGGAATGTCCACAGAAGCATGGGGGCTTCCCAGTGCACTCGGCAGCAGACCTGGAAGTAGACCAGAAACACTTCTGTTCCACTTCTGGATCAGCCAGGGAGCATACGGGAGGGACCGCATGCCCCCGCCAGCTCGGCAACTGGTGCCTCCTGAGTCTGGGGGGGACACCTAGGGTCCTGCCACGGCCGATCGCTGAAGTGGAACGGAAGTGTTTCTGAACTCCCTGTGCACTCTAGATCTCCTGTGCACTCCCCATTGGACCCAGGAGTGGACCGGAAGTACTTCTGATCCACTTCCCAGCACATGGAGGGCCCCTCTGGACTCCTGTGGGACGCTCCACGTGCCCCAGCATCTTAGCGTTCACAAGTAGCACTGATACCTCAAGGTAAGTAGAAAAACATTTAAAGCTCTGTCTATCATCTGATCTCTGAATCAGCATCAAATCTTCAGATTTTGATTCAGCTGAATCAAATCAGGGACAGTGATCCAAATCAACGAATAGAATTATTGTCCCTGATTCGGGTCAAATCCAAATCGCCCTTACTCTGATTGAGCTGTATCTATACAGGGATTGGCTATTTAACAGACTGGGGGCCCAATGAAATACAGAATCCACAATATACAGTTTCTATGCCTCACAAGCTGAGGAATTGCTGTGAGGTATTCAATAGTGTTGTAATGTGAATATAATGGCTAGGGACAGACATTACACATAAACCAGTTTAAGTGATCAGAAACTGGTTTAAACCTGTAACAGAACAGATGTTCAATACATAAAAAACAGTTTGAAAAAGGCTGGAACCATTTGAGATAAACCTGGTTGAATGTAGTATCAGATTAAACTGATTTGGGTCAAACCAGCTTATGCAATGTCTGTCCCAGACCCCTTCCTGGTTTAAGTTAAATCAGAGTCTTTCAGCATCCCAGATGCTTTGCAACTCTGGGCGGGGCCCTGCTCTCTGCTCCAGCCCAGCAGGGCTGGCCCCTCCCCTCTGCTCCCTGGCTGCAGTTCCAGCAGAGACTGCAGGTACAGTGGGGTCTGCCTGGCTTCCTCCTGCTCCCCCCTCTTTCCTCTCACCACTCCCTGTGCAAGCAGGGATTCTTCACTGCCCTCTGCCTTACATATACACCTCTCAGCATTAGTTAGTATACCACATTCTGGCTATGGTCCGTGCTGTGGGAGATGGCACAAAGGCAGACAGGACAATGTTGGCTTAGGGCTTTTTGGAGCTAATCAAAGCTGGTAATGGCTCTCCGTTCCTTCCTTGGAAAATATGTTTAAGAAGAGCTTGAACTAATGAGATGGGTTGTTGTTTTGCTGATGGGGTGATAAATGCTAACAACTCCCTCTTTTAACTCCCTGCTGTATAACTCAGTGCTCTTTTATCAACAGCGGGTGGGGTGGGGGAGCCCTTCCTAATCAGTGGTCCTGGCCACAGCCCTCTTAGCTCAGCACTATGAAAAGGAAGGGAGGGCTGCTCTAGTGCCCCCCAGCATCTAGCCTGAGCCACTGCAGGCATATGCCTGAATGTCTTCAGTCCAGAGGGGATGTCTGTGTGGTTACAAACCAGTTTAGCATAGCCAGATTAGACTAACCTTCAAAGATAAAATCAATTCAGACTCAGGCTTTGTGAATGTCTGTCTCTAGCCAATATGCATAACAGCAGGTGGAACCAGGGAGGCAGTTTGCAAAGTTGGGAAGTCTGTTAATTTGGACTGCAACTCCCAGAAGCCTCCCCCTCCTCCCCCCCAGGCTGTGGGACAAGGAAAAAAGGAAGAGAAGCTTGAGGTTAGAGTAAGGGGAAAAGACAGCAGCATGGAGGTGAAACATGATCAGCCCTACACAGAAGAGTACACAGTGAAGCTGGAGTCTCACTGGGCCAGGCTTCCAGGAACTGTGCACTGATGGAGCTGGACTTGGGGGCAGCTACAGGCTGCTGTTTGAGCACTCTAGGGCATTTATGGGAGGGGGGGTGCTTTAATTAGAGCAGCTCCGAGAGACGCTCTAATTAAGGTGCCCAGAGCTCCAAGTGAATCCGCATCCCCACACTGGAAAATGGTGATGGGGGAGCTTGATGGTGGGGCTTTAACTAAAGCTCATCAAATGAGCTTCAGTTAAAGTGCCCCCAACACCATTTTTCAGCATGGGGATGCTTATACACGTGACACTGGAGTCTGCTGCAGTAATTCCCATGCTCCAGCACACTCAGTTAATCAAGTCTGCTCTGACACACTGTAATTACAGTGCATCAGTGCCACTTCCTTGCACGTGTATAGGCACCCTTAGAGCCTAAAGATTTGTCTGGGGACACCTCGGGAGGTGTGGGATGGAAACTAAGGTGCTGCATGTACTTCACCACAATGTTGATGTTTCTTTACTTTTTACCTGTTCCCATTCTTTGGCTTGTTGGCTTGTGGCTCTAATCCCTATGATTCTCTTTGTAAAAGTGGGAACTCCCCCTTGCTTGTTGTGCCAGTTACTGGGGCTTCAGGGTTGGCACGGTGTTACCTCTCTGTGACCCAAGTGCTTAGCCAAAACTAAGGAACCTGGCAGTTGTTTCAGCAAGGATGAGACACTGAAGATGGAGCCATGTATTTTTGACGCAGCTCTGTTTGTGTATAAAGAATGTGAAAAATCCTTTTTCTCTGAACACAGCAGGGGTCAAACACCAGGAGACAGTTTCTTTGCTCATATTCATAAGTTTCTTTCAGCTAGCACTCAGCCTGAACAAGCAGTGGGAGCATGGCTGTGAGAAAAGCCTACACACAACTCTATGCATGCGTGCCTTTTTTTTTCTTCTCCCTCTCTGGGGCTCTTTCTATAGTTTTCTGCCTATTTTTCTCTCTTGGACATATCTTTCCTAAAACAAGACCCAGAAAAATAATTCCCTTCATATGTATATTTGTTCTGGGTGGTAACACATTCCTCTGGGAGGAGGGGACACTGCTATTGTTTCAGCCATCTGGATCCATACAGGGTCTTACTTGTTTCTTAAATTTATCCTAAATAAAAGGTGGTTGTTACACCCATCAGTGGTAAGAGTTATAACCCATACCCATAACAATAGGCTTTTTGACCACTGGAAAAAACTAAATCACAATCAGCAGAAAAGATGGGGTCCCAGTACATCTAATGAGGATGAAATATGCAAGAGAATTGAGTAAAAAAACCCCCACTTTTATCCAGGTCCATTTATAGAGGTAGAGTATAGAAAAGTGAACTACATTAGTAGTGCATTAACTGCAAATACTTAACACCATTGGCATACTCCAAAGTACCCTTGGCAGCTATTCTGCCTATAACACACACATACTGCTTTTCAAATCAAACAAGAGATAGAGAGTGACATATTGCTGCAACTGGTCATCAGCAGTACTGGATGGGTCTAGAAAACTGCAGAGAGGTGCTTGGTTTCAGCATTGGCAATATGATTGTGCATCCTACACTTCTGCATCTTTTGCCTCAGTGATGGTGGTGACAAATACAGAAAGCATTTATTGGCCTGTCATGGTTTTACAGCACGTGATGACAGAGAAGCCAGTGAACCTAGAGAGACATCTGATGAATCTCCTGCATGACTGCCTTTTCTTGACAGTTTGTTTCGAGTGCTCTCTAGAATTATTCAGTCTGGTCCTCTCAAAACCTATTCACATTGCTTCTCTTTGCTGCTGTTACTGTAGAATTAATCACAGACTATTTTATCTTA